CACTATTGAATAATTTCAAACTTATTTACAAATTAAAGCAGAAAATTACTCTTTCTTGGAGGTTCCAATGTGAACTATACAAGTGGAGAAAATTTTGGAAAAGCTTATCATTCTTTTAAATAAAAAAAATCTCTAAACAATTTTAAAGTCAAGAAAAAAGGATTCAAGAAATCCAAATTTAACAAGAACAATACGTGTTTTCATTATAGAAAGAAAGGACGTTTTATTAAATATTGTAGATTCAAACTTGCTGGAATAAAGATTGGTTCTAGTTATAAAAACAAGGCAAATCTAGTTAAACGAGAAGTCAAAGAACTTGTTGTAATAGTGACCAATATGCAAATTGGAATAATCACCAAAGTTCATATGGCTACTATGTATAAGTAATAAGATTAACAGTTGGATTTTGCAATAATAATTCATATTTGTAATAAAAAATAACAGTTCAAGACCTATGAAGAACACAAGGGACCAAAAAATATTCTTATGAAAGATCATGTTTCTACCAAAGTAATTGGAAAAGAACAATTGAATTGAAATTCACATCAAGATAAAAATTAAATTACTTTAATATTTTTCATGTTCCAAAAATTAGAAAGAATTTTCTATCTACAATTCTATTATGTAAGAAAGACTTTAAAATCGTATTAGAGTGTAATAAAGTTATAGTGTTCAAGAATGGTGCATTTATTGGAATGTGATATTCTAATGGCAGTATGTTTAAATTAACTATTAATGAAATATATAATGCTTCTATTTATATTGTTGAGCATTATTCTTCTTTGTGTTATGCTAGATTTTGACATTTAAATTATCAACATATGAATCATATGTCTCAGCATGGTTATATAACATATCAAAAATGATCATGACATTAATGTGAAATTTATGTAAAAGCAAAAATGACTAAGAAGCCTTTTTCTTAAGGTTGAAAGAAATACAAAACTATTAGAACTTGTAGATTCTGATATTTGTGAATTAAAATGGTTTGTTAACAAGGGAAGAAGAAAGATATTTTATAACAATTAGTCATTTATAGATGATAGTTCTCCTTATACTTTTGTGTAACTAATGAGAAAAAGTAATGAAATGTTTTATAAATTTAAAAAATACAAATTAGATATTGAAAATCAAAAGGTAAAAAAATCAAAATTCTTCAAACTAATAGGAATAGGAATATTTTCCAAATTGATCTTCTCTGTTCTTTGAAAATAATGGAATCATTCATCAAAAGACAACCTTTTTTGCACTAAAAACGGTTAGTCGAAAAGAAAAATATAACTTTAGTTTATATGATAAATAGTATGTTGTCAATTACTAAATTGCCTCTAAATCTTTGGGGAGAAACACTTCTAACAGCATGTCATATACATAACAATTTTTTTCAAAGAAATTTTTAAAATCACCATATGAACTTTAAAATCATGGCAAAAAATAAAATTTAAATTATTTCTGTGTGGGGTGCATTGTTTTTTATAAGGTCCTTAATCTTCGTAACACAAAACTAGGACCTAAAGTTATTAAAAACATTTTTGTTGATTATACACAAAATTCAAAAACATATAGACTTTTTACTTTAAATACTAATTTTATTGTTGAATCTATTCATATAGTATTTTTGGAAAATAGGTTTATATATAATATTGATATTGAAATGGGCAAACAAATTAAAATGGTTCCTATGATTAGAAATAAAAGAAAAGAAATTAATGATTCTATTAAACTAAAAAAGAGTCAAAGGACTTGAAATTTTTTTTTTACATTTTGATTTTGTTTTTCTATTTTTTATTTTCGTAATATATGGAGATAAAATCAAAGTGCTAAATAAAATACCAATTCTACAAAATGTAAAAAAAGATCTTAAACATTTCGTGAAGCTATGGCTTTTAGAGATGTTGTCTTTTGGCAAAAGCTATAAATGATGAAATATACTCAATTATTCCAATAATACATGGGCTTTGGTAGATTTACCTCCAAGTTCTAAACTTATAGGATGTAAATAGGTGTTTAGAAGAAAACATAAGACATATAGTTTTATACAAACCTTTATAGCAAGATGAATTGCAAAAGATTTTAAACAAAACAAAAAAGCATAGATTATTTTGGTACATATGCTCTAATAACAAGAATAACGTCCAACATGGGTCTTATAGCTTTGGCTTTCATTTATAGATTGCATGTGCATCAAGTGGATGTTAAGACAAACTTTTTAAAAGTTGACTTAAATGAAGAAGCATTTTATGAAATAATTGGAAGTTTTATTCTTTCAAGAAATGAAAATAAAGTCTATAAAGTAGTTAAGTCACTTTATGGGTTACAGCAAGTTCCTACACAATGGTGCAAACATTTTAATTCAACAATATTGCCAAATGGTTTTAAACATAATGGAGTGGATAAATGTATTTACTCAAAATTCACTAAAAAATATGGAGTAATAATTTGTCTCTTTATGGATGATATGTTAATTTCTAGCACTAATATGATTGGCATAAATGAAACCAAAGATATCTAACTTTTAATTTTAAAATGAAAGATTTAAATGCAGTAGATACTATTTTGGATATTAAAGGTAAATCCATAATAATTGTTTTGTACTTAATCAAAATTATTATATTAAGAAATTGCTTAATAAGTTCAAATATCTCAATATAAAATAAACCAATACTCTATATGATACAAGCATAAAGTTGATAGAAAATCATGATCCAATAATTGCATAACTTGAATATACTAGAGCTATTAGAAGTATTATGTATGTTATGCATTATAGTAGGTCAAATATAACTTTTGCTGTTTGTAAATTATCAATGTATACAAGTATATAAGTCATTGGAAAGCTATAAGTAATGTTCTATGTTATCTTAAAAGAATTAAAGATTTAGACTTATTTTATTTAGAATATCTAGTAATTTTAGAACAATACTCAGATGCAAGTTGGATCACTAGTATAAGTGACAATAAATCCACTTAAATTTGGTAGTTTACTCTTGGAGATGATGCAATTAGTTGGGCATCCAAAAAGCAAATTTCCATTTCACATTCAACTATGGAATCTAAATTCATAGCTTTAGTTGCAACATGCAATAATGTAAAATGACTAAGAAATTTATTAATAGGTATAAAGTTCTAGCCACAACCAATGATAACCATTTTCTTGTACTATGATAGTGAAGCTACTATGTTTATAGCTTATATTGAAATTTATAATGAAGAATCTAGATACATTAATCTAAGACATGATTATATCAGAGTATTAATCAAAATGAGAAAATTATCATAATATATGTTAAATCCTCAAATAATTTAGCATATCTTCTTTACCAAAACATTATTTAAAATTTTAGTTAGATGCACTGCAAATGGAATAGGTTTAAATTTTTTTTAGATACCAATAATGGCAAGAACTTTGAAATAGCAACCTCTAATTATAAAGCTTAATAGGTAATAAAAAGTTATTATTATTTATCTATTAAACACTAGTCAACTCATTCCAAATATTAGGATACAAGTGTCAACAATAGCATAAATGAATGATGAAATCAAACTCTTAATGGAGTTAATGGTTAAATGTCAACAGGAATGGAGACATTAAGAAGAAACTCACTTATATAAATATTGAAGTGGTGCTGCTTTAATAAAAAAATTGAAAACTTCATTGTAAATGTATAATAAAGGATAAGCGTATGACCATATTAGTATTAAAGTGACAATCAAACATCTAAAAAAATTAAATAAATATTATGTGTGTTATATCCTAAATTTTAACACTAAGAATTAAGATTTAATTTATGGGTACTATCAACTTTATTAGAATTCTAAGATATAAATGCTAATTAAAAGTTTCTATCGAGAGATAACTTATTGTGTTCATAATATTTATTCATGTAAAAGGTTAAAGATCTTAAATTAATAGAAAATTATTGATAATTTAAAATGTTGTGTATCTAACATCGCTAAGAAAGATCTTCTATATGTGATATAAAAGAAACTACTCATGTTTCTTTAATAATTGACTAAGTATCATAAGTGGGCCGAACCATTTTGGCTCGTTAAAAATTTTCTTAGTAGATCAAAGAATTTTAAAAGTTAAAAAGCAATTGAATTTATTTGGTAAACATATTTTTTTTAATTTTTTACTAATTAATTTTTAAAATATTAATAAAATTAGTAATATTTATTTATATTTTGAATAAATTTGTTTGAATATAAATAATTATTATAAGACAAAAGTCATAATTATTTAAATATAAAGTGGTGATTATTCCTATAGTTATAATTATTTGAAAAGAAAAATATGATTATACAAATGATTATAACATTTTAAATAAAAATTTATAATCGTTCATTAATTATAAATAAATCTTTTTACGTAATTATTTTCATAAATTTTAATTTGGATTTTGAAACTTTTTTATATTCTGGGCAAATAATTACCTTTAAAAAATATTTTTTTTATCTCAAAAGTAAAGCCAGATTTATTCTTTCTTGTTTTTTCTTCATTTTCAAATTTTCTAACAATAATTAATATTACAAGATAATCAATATTAAAATTTTTATAATTAATTTTTGTTATATATATAGAGAGAGAGAGTCGCACACACATAATTATAAATAGTAATTCTTAGTAAAAAAAAAGAGTAAAATCGGTTTTGCTGTAAAAAAGTAGTTATTCAAATTTGTTCGTCAATTCACGAGTGATGGAGGGTTTCGTAAATATTTTTTTTTATGAGCGACTTTTGAAAGGAAATTTTTACTTACTGTTATTTTATAATTTATACAACTCCAGAGAGATTTTGTTTAAAATAACTCCATGAATTTATAAACTTCATAAATCAAAATTATCACATATTTATTTTATTAATGTTCAATATATCTTAATAATAATATGGCAATTTTTTAGTTCCTCATAAAATTTAAAAAACTTCACATATAATGTATGACATAATTTTCTTTTCCAATTTCCCCCCCTTTTTTTACACTAATGAAAAATCATTCCAGGACTGAAATTCTGCCTCTCTCGTTGTCTCCAGGATGGATGTTGACCTGAACCACCAATCACCAAAAAAAAAAAAAAAAGAAAGGCATAAACACCTATCAACGCCCAATCGGGACTATGATCTCAGAGAATTCTACTCCTGGGGTAGGATCTGAACTACCGTTCCGATGTACTCCACGAACATCTAGGATTTCAGGCAATCCACCAGCTGTATTCGTGTCTGCTACACCGCAGTTGCCATCATTTTCGAAAAGAGCACTCTCCTGCTGCTGCCACGCCTGCTCCAAATTCCACAATACCTCACCCATGGTTGGCCGTTCACTACCCTTGTCAGCCAAACATTTCCTTGCAACGTCTGTGAATGTCTTCAAACATGTTGGATCTATTTTTCCTTGTAGATATGGGTCAATAATTTGGTCAAGGGTCCCTGATCGATAACAATGCAGGGCATACTCGGCCAAATTTACCTTCTCTAGCTCTTCCTCCATATTTTCTGTCACTTGTAGAACAGCAGGTCTAGCACATAGTACTTCAAACAATACTACCCCAAATGAGTAAACATCTGATTTCTCGGTCAACTTCTGACGTTTGTAATACTCTGGATCCATGTACCCAAAGCTTCCCTTCACCATTGTAGTGACATGAGTGTTGGATTGGGTTAGCATGTTAGGGCCAATTTTTGATAGCCCAAAATCTGAAACCTTAGCCACCCAATTCTCATCTAACAGAATATTGGTGCTCTTCACATCACGGTGAATAATTTTGTGCTTTGCACCAGTGTGGAGGTAATGCAACCCTCGAGCTGCACCAATGCAGATTGTGAGCCTTCGCTTCCATGAAAGTGGAGGCTTCTTGGTCTTGTATAGATGATCACGTAAGGTGCCGTTAGCCATATAATCATAAACAAGTATCATTTCCTTTTTTTCCTTGCAGCACCCTACCAAAGAGACTAGGTGGCAGTGTCGGAGCTGTGATAGCAGAAGAATTTCGGTATGGAACTCCTTTAGACCTTGGTGTGAAGAGGGATTGGCTCGTTTTATTGCAACAAAATTGGTGCCATCATTAATGGATCCTTTGTAAACTTTCCCATAACCCCCAGCCCCAAGAAGTAAGGCTTCAGAGAAGTTATTGGTCGCCAACTTTACCTCATCAAATGAGAAGCTCTGGCAATGGTCTGATGATGGAGACTGCATAAAAGTTTCTCTTTGCCCTTTCGAATCAATTACAACTACTATTTGCCAAATAATTGCAAGAATTATTGATATGCAGAGGAAAATGGGGAAAATTCTTAAAGCTTTATCAATTACATCATTATTCCTGGATTGCTTTGAGGACTTTCCCATTCCAAATGAAAATGGTCCAGCAAGACTGTCGTTGAAGTCGGACAACTTGAAAATTTCTAACCCGTTTAAGATCGCTGGCTCGGTTGTCTTGATTGAGTCATTACTATTTTCTATTGAAAGAGAAAGATATTTTCTGCCTTTGGTATGTTCTGAAAAATTTACAATGTAATCTCTATAAACCGGAATCCCGTCTCCATGGCCCCAACCAAATATATCTGCGTGATCTTCAGCAGTTTGATTCTTAATATAGACATGAAAAACTCTTTGATCAACACCGTGAATCTTTTTTGATATCTCACAGAAATGGAGTCTAACAAGGTAGTAGAAACCAGAGTCAACTGGCAACAACCATCTAGCTCCACCTTGATTACTACCAGCAGCAACTGTCCTGGCGGAAGCATAAACTTTCTCAGGAGCTACATATACTGGCACCACTGAACTGCGCTTTATTTGAACATGTGAATTAACGATATCCGTGTTGCTTTCATCAGTTGTCAAAAAACTTGCATCGGGTATCCATTCGCGACACATACCAGTGTCTTCATGGGCAGGGATCAAATCTCCACCTATGTTCAGTCGATGCATCATCTCAAGGGCTCTTGAGTTCTTGACATAATATAGAGAAGGTTGTCCAATTAGGGGAAGCGGAACAACTTCTCGGATGTAGAGGTTTGAAGGCATCGAGACAACCTCAATCTTGCTGACAAAAGCAAAGGCATCAGGAACATCCCGAGATGGAATGAATGTAACATTTAACACCTGGTCATCGATGTTGATACAATACTCTTTCACAGTATAACTATGATCAGCATCTAACTTACTTTCCGAATATGAATCATTGGAGGTTTTCAGAAGAGTGTAGTGACCAGCACTGACAGAGAATAAAGCTTTGGAAATATGGAAGCCTGAATATGGGATTGGATTGAAATAAAGCCGAATGAACTTGGGACCAGGAGAGATGGGAAATGTATATGTGAATTGTTTCTTGTGGACGCAAACTTGTGGTTTTCCACTGTAGCTGGGTTCTCTGGTGTAATCTTTCGACACAACGTAGAAATTAGTTTTAGAAGGGTTAAGGGAACCCATTCTATCTATAACGGATGCTAGATCAGATGAACAATCTAAGCTGAAGGTATCTGTGGGCTCATAAGAAGATGGTAGGTCAACAGAGATAGCCACCAGACTATTATGTGTTACTATAAGAAAGAAACTAAAAGACAACATAGCAAACGTAGAGGGCTTTGAATGCCCTCTGATTGTGTTTTCCCTCTTATTAGACGTAGTCGAAGAATTTGCACAGATCAGAAGAGTACTCTCCATTGTCGTCGGACAAGAAAGAGTCTAGAATTTTGCAGACCTATTAATTATATGAATATGCAGGTTTAGTTGTTCCAAGATTTACTCTTTTATAAACAGCCGTTGACGGTAATCCCAGTTTGAGTTTTAGTTCAATTCCAAAACTTCAAAGTTGAAACCAATAGGAAGCAAGAGATCAAACCTTGCTCAATACGTCCTTCAGTTCAATATCGCAAGCAGAGGAGCAAGCACGGACGGGTGTCCCTGTCCAACCATCTTTGTCACCTTAAAAAGTACTTTCAAAGGGTTGCCGGTGTATTTTTCAATTACTTGGAAAATGCTGCAATTTGTGAATTTCTGGGAAAGCTGCTACCCCGATAAACACGCCATATATATATATATATATAATTTTTTCAAATGAGATTTTGTTACAAGTTTATTTTTAGACCATTTGTGCTTTTATCAATTTTTTTATATGAATATGTAAACATGAAGAGAGATTCATTTATATTAGCGTAAGTTTTACAAATTTTTTTATTTTTTTTACTAAAATGATTAAATTTAAATATTATGAATTTAATTTTGATCCAAAAATTAAAAATATTTAACTTTTATAATAATGTAACTGAATCCACTTATATTAATATAAAATTAAAAAGTTTTATGCCTTTTAATTTTTAATTTTTTTAATCATTAATTTTAATAGATTCAATGAATGAAAAAAATGATTGAAGAAGAGAAAAAATTAATTTAAGCTTATTCTTTAGATTTATTAAAATCAATTATTAAAAAAAAGTACAAAACTTTGTTGTTTAAATTAATCTCTCCCTATACATAGAGACAAGTAATCAACTTACATAAAATAACTTCAAAAAGTTTTACGTAATTTTTAACACTTAATTTCAATAGATTCAAAGATGTGAGAGATAAGTAAAAAATAAAATAAAAATTATTTAATTTTATCCATTAAAATATTAAAATCAATTATTAAAAAAATATAAAAAAACTTTTAGTTCGCATATAAATTAATCTTTCGACATGTGTACACACACATATATATATATATATATGTTAGAAATTATTTTGTGTAAAATTATTTTATACAATTTTTAATTATTGATTTTAATAAATCTAAAAAATAAAACAAATAATTTTTTTTTTAAAATTCAATCTCATTTTTTAACTTTAACAAAATCAATCATTAGAAAAATATGTACAATTTATTAATTTTACGTTAGTCTAAATTGATCATTTTCGTGTATATTCATTTCTTTATTTCGTAATCAATTATCTTAAGTTTTATGATGTTTTTTTAGGTATAATTGATTTTTAATTTTAATTATTTTGATTTGAAAGTAGAAAAATGTAGAGCATACATCGATATAAATGAATGTCAATTTTTATGACGTTCTCAAGGTATACTTGATTTAACTGAAGATTTGCATCTATCGATTAAAGTCCTTTCAAAGTGATATTTCTTTGAAAACTGCCGACACGATTTCGTGTAGAAAAATTCATTGCTACAGTTTGATTTATTATATAACGACGTTTTTGGTTATATATGCATTTGATGGAAGACGGAAAATAAAAATAATATCAAGATGTAATAACACTTGTCAAACTGTGAAAATTTTGAGAATATAGATTTTAATATATTTTATTGAAAAAGTTGGTTCCGACTTCGCCGCGATAATATTATTTTAGTTGATACAAGAATTTGGCTCACATTATGATATTTTTCATCATTTTTTAATTTTTTAATATATTTAATATAAAATAATAAAAAATTTAATAAACATAAAATATTAAAAGTTTAAGAAATTAAATATACTTTTTAATATGTTATAATTCTCTTTTTTTTTGTTTTTAACTTTATGTTATGTTAAAGGTTTTGTGATTTTTTTAAAATTATTTTATTAATTGTATAATCTTTTCAATTTATCATATATTAAAATTTTTTTTAAAAGGAGGCAAAATAAGAACAATAAAAAAATTATAATTTTTAATGAAAAATTTTTTAATTTTAAGTATTATACCTCACAAATAAGAAAAAAAAATACAATATAATAATTAGAAATTATACCTCACAAATAAAAAAAAAATCACTTATTGAATTTGGATTTGGGTTTTCAGCTTACATAAATAAGCCCAACATTTGAACCTAAAAGTCGTAAATGTACAAATCACCTCATATAAATTAAAAATTTTCAACCTCACATTCTAACATGCAACCAACTTTAAATATATGATAGATTTAAAAAATTAATTGAAAATTCTTTCAACTGTGTCATTCGGTTGATTACTTGTATATTATGTATAGATATTTGTTTGATTTTGTGACTTCCTTAAAAAAAAAAAAAAACAAACTTCCAAAAAGGCTTAATTTGATTAAACGCTTAACTATTTTATTTTTTAATTGAGAACTTGATTAAAAATAATATAATAACTCAAATTTAATGTTTACTAACTTAAACTCTCAAAACATAAGTTAATATCTTAAATTAATCCCAAAAACATTAGTCAAAGCCTTATAGATCCCATTTAGAGTTGCTTGAAATTTTAAAACCAACCCTTAAATTATGACTAAATATCCCGCTTAATCCAAATTCATCCATCAAATCATTATTTATTACAAAACATAGGTGGCTAAAAATTAAGTTTCAATTTCTCTTGGGATAACTTTAATATATTTTATAGATTTTCTACATAAATACCAAACAAAGAAGTTTTAGCCTTATCATGAGTTAATTAACCCCAAATTTATGAAAAAAAAAATCAAATTTAACCTAAAAAATATATAGTCACTACCAAAATTACCCCTCAAATCATCCTTAACGCCCTATCCCATCTCGCTAAAATTTGAACTGTAAAATCTATTGGGACAGCTTAAATATAACGTATTTATATTTAATATGTAATATGAAATAGAATAGCAGCCATGCAATAATAAATAAATTAGAGACAATAAAATAAACCTGCAGCATGCAATATAAAATGATTATTTCTTTTTGTTTGTTCTATTTGACTTACGGAATTTGGTGTATAATTATATTTCCATCAGCCTTATTTGTTTTCCATATAAGAGAAAGCCTCAGCAACTCTAGCAAATGGAACCCTTCAGATCAACTATCGGCTCCACTCTGCCAATCTCTAAATATGAATTTAGTTTCTTGAGAACCTCGCCATTGGAAGTAACCACAAATCTAACCCAGAAGGTGTGACAGCACCAGTTAGAGCTACGACACTGCCAACTTTTTTCGCTGCTTTCATTGGTCTGTTACAATGCTTTGTAATTGAAAAGGAAAACAGTCAAATATGCAAACCAATCCTCGGAAACTTCACTTCTCTGTAATTAAAAATTAAAAAGTAACTTGAATTCACTTTAGAAACGCAAAGCACAAATTATAGCTTAAAGACACTTATATTGGCTGTAACACTAGAAAAATTTGGAACAATATTTTTCCTAAACTGAATGTCTTTAACGAGTAGTCTTGTATGAGTGACTCGCTAACACAAAAAGTTATATACTCACTATGTTTTCTAAGTATCCTTTATGATTGAAAATAATAAAAATATTATTTCTAGGAAAAAAAAGAAATTTAGTATAAAATATTACCAATGGCATCATAAACGACATCAAATTTTTTTGGTGTATCATCAAAGTTATCCTTTGTGTAATCAATAGCCAAATCAGCACCTAAGCTCTTCAGAAAGTAGAGTTTTTCTGGTATTTTGAAGTAGCTGCAACTCTTGAAATGCAAATGCTTGTTTTCCTACCTGCGAAAATGAGAACATAAGCATGAAACAGTAAAAGCAATAGATATTTAGATGAGTGAACCTCATTGATGATGGAAATTCAACTAATTCAACTATGAATAGTTTGATTTTTATCATGATTGGATTACTTTGTTCTTAGGCTTTATATCTCGCTATTATGAACAAAAAAGGTTACCACCAACCACAAAACATTTTATGTTGTGAGAAGAATTTCTTTTGTATATGAGAGGAAAATTTAGTAGAAAGTGAAACTTAAACTAAGCTTATTGTCTAAATGAACCTAATCTACTAACTTCAAAATATTGTAATTATCTTTATCATCCCCGAGTTAAATTACTAAAATGCACTATATATAAATATCTTTTCATTACAATTTATATATAACAGCAACATGCCAATCCAAAACCAGTGCATATATATCTAGAGAAGAAATTCATTTTTGTAACAATAACAATCAGCTTTAATTTTCTTCAGTCTTTTTTTTCTTTTTTTCTTTTTAGAGGTGAGTATTTTTTAAGTGGATAAAAGATATTATCAAGATTTACAAATTCAAGCAAATGGTCAGCAGATCTTTCTCTGCCTTTAGCTCATACATTAAGCTCTTATTTTCAAGTGGAAGACCTTACGAAACAAAAGGCAATCATATTTAGACTATGGATCTAGGCTATATCTCACTCCTCACATTTCATATCCTCTCTTGATGGCACCATAAATTACAAATAAGTTTTATCAGAACATAATACATAGAAATATGGTAGTCATTTAAGGAATATTCAAAACAAAATTTATACAAATTAAACTAAATAAACAGTAAATAATCTCACCACAAAATCCAGAAGCTAATAGAAACTCCATAATGCCTTTTGGCAAATGTACATGCTCCCATTTATTGCATATCAAACTCCTAAAATAGATTTTACTGATATTTATACATAAGCCAAATCAAAAGAAATAAGTCACAACTTAAAACTCTATATGCTACCTTGACAACCATATTTTTCACAAGATAAACATCATGAAAATAACAAAAACATCACAAACAATTCAATTCCATTAGTATTTATAAAAAAATACAACACAAATGGAGATTGGCATTTATACATAAACTTATAAAAAGATTATTAAATAGAATACCAAGAAACAAAGAACGGTTCAAATTTAACTCAAATATTCAATCTTCACAACAATGAAAAGAAAAAAAAGGAAAAAAGTTATCTCAAGCACACCTTTGGCAGGATAATCGTTTCATTATCTTTTAAATAGTCTACGAATTTGATCTTTTGTCATATCTTTTACAAATAATGCATGCATTCAAACCTGATGATTTTAAAACTTCATAAAGCAAAAAAAAATTTCTCTCTCCAAAAGAAAATTTTAAAAAATTCCTCTTCATTTTTCCAAGAAAAACAGAACAACAGTCAATACCTTTCTTTATCAACAAAACCATTAAAATAAACCACACAATTAAAACATAATTGCCAATGCACAAAAGATTACATATATAGGAAATCACTTCTTATAACATATGTCTTGCAGTTTTTTTTTTTTTTTTTTTGAAGTTTGAAGGGCATTAAGCATATACCAAAATTCAGATTAAACACTTAATATTTACTAATACCTCTATACAGTTAAAAACAAAATTAAACCCTATACCAAGAAATCTTAAGGATTGGACACAACAACCCCATCCCTCATCTTAAAAGCTATGCACTATGCATAATTGAAACAGTAATCAGGACGCTGAAGAATTGCAAATAACATAATCAATAAATGAATAAAAGAATTAAAAATTGTAAATGCAAGTTCAGAGAACATTAATAGTCACATATGTAGAAAAAACTGATGATATACCTTCATGGACTTCATTTCATCGATAGTAGCAAAGATGTCCATCTCTTTTTTCAATCCAATGTTCTATTCTTTAAAAGACTAAAACACCATCCCATTTTTTTAAAATTTTGAAGTTTGAGATTTAAGAACAAAGCGAGTTATTGAAGTTTTAATTCGTCTTCCGGTGATGCGATTGGAAGCCCTTTATCATCTTTGTCGGCATCCTCGTTATTTGAGACTAGAGACCAATCAAACCATTATATTTTTCTTTAAGAAAAAAAAAAATTACAGAAAACAAGACATGTTAAAAAACTAAAGCACTTACTTTTGCAACCAATTTATTTCCAACTAATCAAGAACTCAGCAAAACATTATTTGCAAATGAAAGAGCTGTGATTATACTAACAATAATAACTATTAGTATTACTAATAATAGTAAAAGTTTACTACCAGTCATTCATAGTCATGCTTTTCTACATCTGTAGACGAAAGCAGATCATCAAGCCCATCTTTTTTCACTCCTACTTTTGTTGATCCAAATGATAACCTTCACAGTTTTATTGATGCTACAAAATCAACATCAAAATCCAAACTTCAAACTTATTTTAACACTTCCACTATGTTTGGACCGAGAGAAACGAAAAGAAAATAAAGAAAAATAATAAATACAGAAAAATTCTTTTTTGATTAGATAAATTTTTAATTTGATAAAAAAAAAGTAAAAATTTAATAATTTTTTATTTTTTTGTAATTTTCATTTTTTTAATATCTTAATTTTTAAAAAAATAAAAAAATAAAATTATTTTTATTTTTATTTTTATAAACAAATTATTATATTTAAAAGTGCTTTAAAATCATATATAATAAAAAATTATAATTAAAAAAATTATTATAATAATTATTTTTTACTTTTTATCTCAATAAAAGTTATTAAAATTTTTTATTAAGTTTAATTATTCAATCAAGATATACATATATCTTTTTTTTTTCTTTTAAAAACTTTTTTTCTATGTTTTTTATTAATATTTATCCCACGTTAAAACTTAAAGCGTTTATCATTTCAATTGGGTCAACTTTTCATTGTTTAAACTACATCGTTCCCTTCTAAGGCTATATTTGCGTTGCAAATTGCAAAACCATCGATCATTTTCTAACTTCTAAAAAAGGAAAAAAACTTTTTTTTGCCAAATAAAATTGAAAAAAAGCTTAGCTAACTACCTCTGGAAATCGACAAACTAATCTAATAATAACAATATGAAAGTAAAGGAAAAGAAACTAGTAGAAATGTCCTCGAATATAGAAATGAGTTGTTTGTACCATCGGAGGATTCGTCGTAAGAGGCGAAGAAGACGCTGCGACAGTTCTTAGAAATGAGATCCAATTTTTTGTTGGAATCCCTGAGGAATAATCCACCATTCAAACTTTGACCACGGTGGTGATAATGGGATGCCGCCGAGAAGCTTTAAAAAATTGAAAGAAAACTAAATCGGTATGGTTTGGATAAATTTGAAAAAGAAAAACAAAGAAAACAAAGGAAAAAAAAAAAAAGCATAAGCAGAAAAGTGAGAGGTCAGGAGGAAAGAAAAAGGAAAAATGGAAAACCTTTCATCAACCCCTCTCCCAATCTTTCTCTTGTTAAATCAAGTAACTGTTAACTATCCCTCATCCCATTTTTTTTTTCAAAGAAAAAATGATGTAGGGTGAAAAAAACCTGTTCAAGCAAAAAAAAAAAAAAAAAACTTTGGATGACACGTGGTTGAATATCGGTCAATTGAAAGTCAACATGAGTAAGCTTTATAATATGGACGAATAATGGATGGATGAATTCGGATTGGTTGATTCTCAATTAATGTTGTGAATAAAGTGAAAAAGATTTAATATTAAAAAAAATTATAAAAGATTTATAGCAAAATACACAACAACATGGGCAATTATTTCTGTATAAGAAGAGTAAAGAGAGCACACGAAATATAGGAAAATACAGAAGAAAAAGATTTATGCCGCAAAAGGAAGGGACAAGCAGGCAAGCGGTGGCTTGTCCACATTGCCCACATGCTTTGATTTAGTAGCTGGGGGCACGTATTTGACCGGATTAGGCCCCACGCTCACCGCCTTCTCGCAACGACAGCTCAACAACCCCCCATTCCCACCTGATTTCTTCATTCCACCATTCCCATGTGCTGTCATGGTCATCTCCTCCGCTTCTGATACGCCTACAGACCCTTTGTCGAACCCTTCTGCTGTTGTCACGCTCCACTCTATGCTCGCCTCACTCGGCTCGTAACACTCCCTCATCATCGGAGGATACGGACACCCGAAACCTGACCCGTTGCCTGCAGCTGCTATCGATCTTCTTGCATTAAAGTTCGAGGCATCGTCCAACGAATCTCGACGATGGTACATTGGATATGACGTGGTTTGGCTCATTGTGGTTGTGGTGAAGCTCTCAATTTCGAACAAGTCTGAGCTGGTATCACTGCCAACATCATCGTCTGGTATGTTGATTCTGGACACCAGTTTCTTTGACACAGAAATAGATGATGATTCCTCCGAAGGTCGGAACACCTCCAACGAGTCTCGGGGTGGATCCTCATGATCGTCAAGAGAATTATTATATCTATTCATTGCTACTTTAATGTGGGATGATGTTGGTTGTTGATTAAGTATTGGAAACGTGAACCCAGCAGTCCCGGAACCATGACTTATCATCAGGGGTCTGGTTGTTGCTGAAGCTACAACACGCTGTCCTAAACTTGAATGAAACTCATTATTCTCTGCTGAGATCCTGTAAGGATTACAGGCTAGTAGCATCTCTTCACGTTTATCTGTACACCAGCTTGAACTTTTTGTGCACAAACTTTTCTGAGCCTCTACCTTGAGTTTCTGATTCAATCTCAAGAGTGTTTTGGGCTCAACTTGAACGGATTTCTTGCCCAAACAGGGGCACCTTCGCCCCCAAAACCATTTTATTTTACCAGAAGCTTTTCTCTTGTCATCAGATGTAGGATTTTTCATGGTCATAGACACTGCAATGGCACCAGGAGGATTTGACAACAAACCAGTCTGGCTATTCCAGCTAGCCTCTGATGAAGCCGTCGGTGTTGCATGGAAGGAACGAGCTCGGTACGTCCTGCCATAACCATACCCGTCAGCAGCTGATGAGGCAGATGAGAATCTGGCCAAGCCAGAAATATCACACCCTGGCTCAGGTGAAATACGATCCAGATTGGGCATGTTAAGCGGGGACACTCTTTTGCACACTCTTGCATCGCTGTTGCTTTCATTGAAGTACCTCTGGGCATCAAAAATGCTTATCTCTGTATCCTCATCTGCAGATGCATCGACTCTGAGGTTGCTTTTCTGTTGCGGAAACGACATGAAAGAAAGGGAGGGTTCCAGTTCCAGGGAGCGTTCTTGAGAGCCTCCTCCTTCATTAATCGTTTTCATTACTCTTGGCTTTTCCATCATCATTAACAATCAAAACTCAATTAGAAAAAAGAAAGAAAACAAAGAAAAGAAAAGAAAGAAAGGCAAGAATGGATATATGGGTGTAGAATTGCCTCTGAAATTCCATATTTGCAGGTATATGTAGAGGTTGGGTACAAAGTTTGTCCAAAACATCAATCATACGTAAGGCATAATCTAGCAGTGAAAATTATCTACCAAATAAGGAAACCAACATTCCCATATTTTATTTAATTCAATATAAAGCGATTTTAAACTTTAATCCACAACCACAAGATCGAAGAGACTGGACCTACAGTAGAGAATGGACAGTGAGCAGATCATTTACATCCATCAGAATTTCCAACATCTCATGGAAAATTATTGTGTATTATGTTGGCAGTTGAACAATTAAAAAAAAGCAAAAAAAAAAAAAAAGATGATGTTGGCAGTGATACCAGCTCAGACTTTTTTTTTTTTCTCACTCGCACATTAAGTAATAATAACTAAATTCCATCTTATTAATTTTAAAGATTATATTTAATGCATTATTAATATATAAATACTATATAATATTAATATATCATAAAATGATTTCTCTTAAAAAATTAATTATTAAAATATTAAAAATTAAATATAATTAATCTTTAAAATATATTTAAAATTAATTTTTTTTATAATAAATCAAGTTTGATTGTTTATATCCGGTAATGTACCTACTACAAATCTTTAATTTTATATACATATTTATATATATTTATATATATATATTGTCAGCAATTGGATGATATAAATTGATTTGATCAGTCACGTGGCCTCCTATCAGTTTAGTGTTTTTGTGGAACCAATTTCCGCAACTGACAAAAACCTAACAGGATACGACCGTGTAAAGACAAGTTGGTGGCTTTATCCAATCTTTGAGAAGCATGATTGATTTTGGGAGCGTTGCTTCTTTTTATTTTTACTATTTTTTTTTCATTTTGGGTTATTATATTTTCCCAATCTTTCCATTATTTTATTTTGTTTTTAGAGTTTCTCCTTTGATCAATACACATATTAATCATCTCTTTTTCCATTACTTTTGGCAAATATGTGGAACATGTATTATTTCTTAGTATTTTATTCTTCTCAGCTTAGCTTGTTTAGGGGATCACTAAGTTCAGTTGCCTTAATTTAATTTCATTTATTGCTTTCATTTCAATTTTATAAAATTTAATCAAAAGTTAATTTGTAAAGGTAACATCCTCAATCTCGTATTAAAATAATATATATATGATATAATATATATGTAAATATCTAAACTTTAAATTATGAGATTTTTTTGTATGATAAAATTATTAAATATTTAAGTTAAAATAGATAATACCTCACAGATTGAGTATGAATCTTTATAAATAGTATCAGAACGATCACAAATCGATGAAAACTAAGTAGTATACCATGGGAGTCATTAAATACTACGTAGTGGGGCTATGAGAGTAACTAAGTATTACACAATGAAAAACCATCCCTAAAATCTTAACGTTTGATGCGATTTTGATCTTGTGGTTTAACTCACTTGATAAGATTATCAAGCTTTAAAGGTGAGGAGATTATGATGCTCTCAATCTCACATTAGAATAATATGTGGATATGATATGATATATATATATAAATCTAAACTCTAAACCTGTGAGATACCTTTTATGGAATAAAATCGTGAAACTTTTAGGTCAAATGGATAATACCTCATAACTTAGGTATAAGTCTCCACATAAAATCCATACCTACATATTTGGAATTCATTTTATGGTATTCCAAGTTTTTAATTGTGAATGACATGAACTAGTTAGAGTTTTACTTTTTTTTTTCCATAAATAATAAACAAAATGTTATTTGAGAATTGTTGTAACGTGTGAGTTCAAAAACTCAATTACTTAGATGAATTTTAAAATCAAAATAGGAAATCAACACAAATATTTTTTGTTAAATGTGATTGCCTACCTTAAAAGTTTATTTTTCGATAAAACCCTAAAACTAGTTTAAGATTTATTAAAAAAACAATTTTAAACTTCAAAAATAGAGTTAAGATCACGAGTATGGTTACATATAAAGAAAGATTTGCACCCTTAGAACATCCATTTTAAAAATGGTATCAATTAATAATATGTTATCCTCTTAGTGTTATATGTTTCAACTTGATATTTAATAATAATTTTCCTTACTTTTTGAAATCAATTTATATTAGGTAAAAAGAAATGTTGATTTAGGAATAAAATAAAAATCTTGAGGTTAAATAATTATCTTAAAACTCTTCATCATTTAGGTGGAATTTACTAATAACCATTTTTGCCTAAGATTTATCCCTATCATGTAGGCAAACTTTTAGAGAAAGCTAAGAGACCATGATTACATTTCTTACTTAAGGTTTTAATGTGTATGCGAATGATGATGAAAATGCCCATGACATTTAAATTCTAAAGATGATATTTTACCAAAATGCAAATGGTGCATGAAATTAAACTACTATGCAATTACATTTCTAAGACTATTTCACAAGCACTTAGTAAACTAACCATGCATAAACAAACAACCAAACAAAGCAAGATAAAATGGAAAAGCGAGAATTGGCCAAGCATGGGAATAACCAAGGTCGAGAGTCCCTATGGCCAAGTTAGAGTTCTTTATGTTGGCCATTCATCTAGGATCATATACCCATTATTAGGACTCATTACAAACACTTGAAAACATGACAGAAACCCATTTTGATTTCATCAAACACTTAGAAAAGTCATCAAATACTTTTTTTTTTTGTTTTGAACACTTCCATCACATACTTGGAAAACATTGAATTTCAATAAGAACACATTGAAAACTTATTATGGCTTCTCATAATAACACATTTTGATCACTTGCTAGGAAATGCCTCAAACACTTAGAAAACATGTTTAGAAAACTATTTTTATTGTCAAAAGATGTTTATCAAACATATAGGGAACTACCAAGAATGAAAATACTAAAGAACATTTTATTGTCAAAATAGCAAACACAATATATCAAGAGGCAAAAAAGCATATAAATGTAAAGCTCTAACATCTTAAGCATATTACAATATTAAAATAAAGCAAAGAAAACATGAAAGAAATGACAAAAGAGCTTCGACCAAGACATGGAAGCCCTAGGCCAAGAGCTCTTCACTTAGGTTTCATGGCATTTTTTTATTCTTTATTATTTCAAAACCATACCATTAGTTTGGTAAGATGAAATATTGAATCAAGTGAAAAAAAATAGTAAAGAATAGCCATGGAAAACATTGTATCTTTTGCAAAAAAAAATAATAATAAAGATATGAAGAAATTATATGCATGGAAACTGAAGCTTGTATGGAAATGCATACAAAGAAGTAAAATAGATACCTTTCAAGTTTTTCAATTTTTTTATTTTTCTTTTCTTTTTTAGTAATTGTTGCCACTTTCTCTTGTTGCCAATCCCTCATCACAACCCTACAAATGTTTTTTTAAAAACACTTTCTCACTACAAGGGCCATTGTATTAAACTTCATAAAAGGGTGATAAATTTTTCATGTTTTTTTACTAAACTTGATGTCCAAGCATATCAATCACACTATAGAATTATCGTGCTCTCAAATATAATGGCTTTAAAAATTTATAGAACACAATCAAATGCAAACTTATTCAAATGTCGAGCTACTAGCCCAAACCCAAAGGCTCGCCCAAGTTTTGAGAAAGCTTGGATAAAAAATTAAAATTCATTAAACGAATTTGGGCATAATTTTTAAACCCGTTTAAATTTCAAGTCAGGTCCTTGATAAAATATTTAAAATCTAAAACCAGCCTAGCCTTACCTAAATTCATTTTTTTTTTTAGTAATTACTGCCACTTTCTCTTGTTGCCAATCCCTCATCATAACCCTAAAAATGTCTTTTTAAAGACACTTTCTCACTACAATGGCCATTGTAATAAACTTCATAAAAGGGTGATAAATTTTTCATGTTTTTTTACTAAACTTGGTGTCCAAGCATATCAATCACACTATAGGATCATTGTGCTCTCAAATCTAATGGCTTTAAAAATTTATAAAACACAATCAGATGCAAATCTATTCAAATGTCGAGCTACTAGCCCAAACCCAAAGGCTCGCCCAAGTTTTGAGAAAGCTTGGATAAAAAATTAAAATTCATTAAACCAATTTGGGCATAATTTTTAAACCCGTTTAAATTTCGAGTCAGGTCCTTCATAAAATATTTAAAACTAAGACCAGCCTAACCTTACCTAAATTCACATATATATAATTTTTTTTATTTTTATATATATGTAAATTATTTATAAATTAATTCATATATATTAATTGAAAATAAAAACTATATATATTTTGCTAAACTTAATTTTTATTTTTAATTTATATATATAAGTTATTTAAATATAATCCCATTAAGCTTAATTTAATCACACTTTTTTAACTTTTTATTATATATATATATATTAAGTTTTACGAGGTGGGTTTGAAATTTATTTTTTTTAATTTAAGCTTGACTTTAGAAAATTTTAAGGTTCGAAATTTTGAGTCGGGTTGAATTTGGGCAAGTATATAAGCTATTAGTACTAAACATGAGCCCAACTCGAACCTAGTCTGACCCGGCCCATATATATATTTATTTTTCTCTAATAAATTGCTAGATATATATATATATATATATATAAATATATCCCCAATTAAACAAACAAATATATATAAATATATGTCTTTGAAAATTGTTTATAATGTCTATCTAATTGTCTATAACTAATTCAACTATTTGAGAGCAAATTTACTGATCCTTAATTATCACCTTTAGAGACATATACTAGTGCCTTTGATTTTAGATTTTGAGGCAATTAAAATTAAACCTAAATTAGGATTTTAAGTAAAAAAAATTGTCTATAATTATAAATAGCAATAATTATAATACTATTATACCAAATAATTTAGAGACTTCTACATTTGCCTCTACATCTATTATTTTTTTAATTATTATTGATCATATAAAACGTATTACGTGATTTGTACACACACACACATACATATATATATATTAATGTTCAAATATTTTGTTTTAAATACTAATCAAACAAAATTTAACTAAACTTAAAGGATGACATGCGAAAGTGAACAAGTAAAAAAAAAATTTAATTAATAAAAAAAATCCACCATTATATGTACTAGGTACTTAAATTATAATGTCTATACTATAAATAAAAAGTTTCAA